CAAACAAAGTCAACAGGCTAAAAGGGCGAAATGTGGCCTAATTCTTGGAGGACGTCGACGCAGATATTGACTATCGGTAGAAGATCCTTCAGCGAAATGCTCTCGATGATCTCAGTGGAGAAGTTCTCCCTCTACAAAAACCCCTGGCAAGGCTTATCCAGCACCTCCGGCTCAGTTTTGGAGGTAGGCTCATTTTCCAGGGACGGCAATGACTGTGACTTCGTACGACGGGTCATTGGAGGTGGCCAGTTCCCGCAAAGGAGGGCTGAGACCAGAGAGTGGAGGAGGCATTTCTCTCTGTCTGGTTCTTCCTTCTTTGCCGTAGCTCTTTCTCGTTAAGATCGTTCTTGGGTGGGCGCTGAATTGTATTGATTTCGATGTATTTATCTTTATGCAATTTCTTCTTCTTTTTGAATAATTGTGTAGTTTGATGAGAGTTGGCAAATGCCTTGCCGTAGATTCTGTGATGTTGTTTGTACTGGATTTTACTTCATTAAATTGTTAATTATTGCTAATTGTGATATATAGGTGTAAAAGATCTGACTTTTTATTCAATTTTGATCGGTGGTTAATGTGCAGAGTGTTGGGGTTTGATTTGGACTGGGAAGGGAGTTTGCATTAGGGGTGGGCTCAGTTTGGGTTGGTTCGGTTTTGAGCTCAACCCGAACACCGAACCGTAGGCCTCGGTTTGGCTATTTTGGAACCCAAAACCAAACCATAGTTGATGAAAACCGACCACTTCGGTTAACCGGACTTAGTGGTTTGGTTTGGTTCGGTTTGGGTTTTTTGGCTTTCTTAGAGAGAGAGAGATATAGAAGAAATAAAAGTGATGGAGAGAGGGAGAGATGGAGAGGAGAAGAAGAAAAAAAAGAGGGAGAGATGGAGAAGAAGGAAAAAAATTGAAACTATGTATTTTATATATATATATATATTTCTTGTAATAATATTATGTATAATATTTTTTTAATACTATCGGTTTGGTTTGGTTAAGCCATGGTTTTGAATTTTGCAAACCGTAAACCGAACCATACATTTCGGTTTGGTTTGGGTTCAAACCGATGACCAAAAAAAGATTGAAAAAAAACCAAACCAACCCAAACCATCGGTTTGGTTTGGGCGGTTTAACCGAGTTATCGGTTTGAATGCCCAGCCCTAGTTTGCATTATGTGAGCTCACACTGTAGCATTTGTGTGTGTTGATGGACAACTAAGGATTGGATGCTGAGGAGCTGAGGTTGTGATGCTACTTAGGCAGAACTGTTGGGTTTTGTAGTAATCAGAAGGAGAAGAGTTCTTCAACATTTGCATGGGTGGTGATGTATTTTTAAATTGACCTATTTATGTATAACTCTAGAGCATGAGGGATTTGTTACAAATGTTGCACTAATCGGTGTTGAAACGGATTTTTTTTTAAATCGTTGGTTGTATATACAAATATTGTGTAACTGAATAAATATCACAAAAACAAGTTTGGTGTAATGTTTTGTGAATGATACTTCATGCTTCATCCTTTGAGGGTCAAGGTTCAAGCCCCGAAAACAACACAAAATCTTCTATTTTTTTAGGGTGAATAAAGGGCAATGAAGATGGGCCACGTCAGTGGTGGTTGAGGCGTCGAGCCAGAAGAGGGATTGCCGGAGATGGACATGTGGCATAGTGTGCTTGACTTAGAAGGAATGACATTGTGTAGCCGCTATATATATATATATATATATATATATAGTGAGCTTCAGTTGAGGGATCTCTCAAATAAGTTTATTTGAGGGACACCCTTGTTGGGTTCACCATACATTGTATTTCATTAATCTAAACGTCAATTTTGTAGATATTCATTTGATTGTTGAAATTTTTTTTGTAGGGTACCCTAAAGGGTGTCCCTTAAATAAAATTAATTGAGGGATCCCTTAATAGAAAGGAACTGTATATATACAGTTATTCTCTCATTCGAACGTCCATAATTTATTATCTTGCGGATGCCATTCTAAACGGGTGGGAAATAATAGAGGGGTAGTAAAAAATACATGGCATTCACAGGGTAATAACGTCTGGATGTCCGCATCGGAGAATTTCTGTATATATATATACCTAAAACATTCCTAAATTTTTTCTATAAATACCAACCTCATTTCTACATAATTTCCCACTTTTTTTTTTTCATCCTTCTATGTAATTTCCCAAAAAAAATTTCTTCCTCTTTTCATCATTCTTCATAATTTCTCACAATTTTAAATATGGTCTAAAGTAGTACTTTAATTAAATTATTCAATATATTTAAAGAATATAATAAAAACTAATAAAATATTGAGGGGTCTATGATTTATCCTTGCACTGCTGGAGACGGTAAAAATATAGTCCAACACTATTCTTTAAAAAACTATAAATAGTGGGCTAAATTTTATGGGTGGGCTATATTTAGTCCTCCGCTGTTGGAGATGGCCTAAGAGGATTGCTCATCTAAAAATTGTAATTCCTCTGTAAGGCCATCTCCAGCCACAGGGTTAAATGTAGTGTAAGGCTATAATTTTAGCGTTTCAAAATATTAATTTTTTTAAAAATAGTGTAGGGCTAAATTTTTTCATCTCCAGCCATGTGGGGCTATATTTTAGGACCCCCCATATTTTATTATTTTGAGAAAAACTATGGTAAAACACTCATACATTCCACTACAATGTGAATAACAAAATAAGTAAAGAGAATAAAATTGTAGGAAATGGTTGAATGAAATGAGTGTGGAAAACATTTGACAAAAAAAAAGAGGGAAAAGTTGTGAATAAGTAGAGAATTTAAATACATTTAAAAGGTTAAAAGAAAAAATGATAATAATTACGGCTAGCAGACATCAGCGCGCCTTTAATATAAACCTTTGGATTGCAGTTGCATAAGATGTTCCCCTTCTCACGCCCACACGTGATACTTTCCCGTATTTGGGCAACACATGTGTCGGGCCCACAAAAAAAATTTGGCCTGGTCTACTAGTGACTTGGGATGATGGCTAAAGGACTGAATGTAGCTCTCAAAATTTGGCCAAATTTTTTTTTTACCAATGACTGAAGGTGAATTTTGCATGTTTTGAGGGCTACATATGGTCTATGGCCATGGCTGGAGATGGCCTAACAAAAAAATTGTAATTCCTCTCCTAAAAATGATTAATTGGCTCCGTCATGTCCTAAAAATCTACAGGACCATGTCGCATAGGATTGAAAATTGGAACCACACAACACAATGCTTGCTTTGACTTTTATATGTAACTTTGACCTCAACTATAATATTAGAAGGACATTGCTTGGCTCCTGATACATCAAGAGCCTTTCCTCCTCCACATGCGACGTGGCCTCTTTACAAAAAGACACCTGTTTTTTTTTTTTGGTCATCTCTTTTCAACTCTTTTAACCCAAGCCCTTTTAACTCAGGTCATGCTCTTCTCTTAGAGAGACCTCTTCTTTTGACAACCTAACTCTGATAACCAGCAGCGTAAACCTCCGACCATCGACCATGTAAATCTCCGATCATTGACAATGTAAATTTCTGGCGAACTTCTCTCATTGTTTGATTAATTCTTCTAAGATGGTTAGTCCAACAAGATTGTTTCCCTTTCTTAATTTTGGAATTTTAGTTTTCATAATTCCTATACATGGCAGATTCTTCATATTTGGTGGTTGTTTTTCTTGACCATTTTCGATGAGTGGGTTTTTTATGTTTATATGGTTTATCAAAGTAGTATACCTGTAATGAACTTACGTTGATAAATATATAAAAACATCTATATTTGATTTGTAATATAATCTTCTCTTTTCTCCTTGTAAGCTAACCAGGCTTTTAATTTGGGTGAAATAAATGGTTATAAGTTGCAGCCAACCTGTTTGAAGAAATGTCTAAACCAAGTTGTGATCTTTATTTTGTTTTATTTGTTTTGTTTTTGTGATTTCTATTTTCGTAAATGATTTAAATTTCTAAATATGATCCAATGGTTCTAATTGGTAGTGGCAATATTGTAGGTGGATGGAGATTCAAGAGTGTCGAAGACTAAGCAATATGTTATCCAGTGACGTCAAAGTTGATTTGCAAGGTGCGGACAAATCTGATCCATTTACTCATTTTTCACCTACTAATGATTTGGATGAATTGAATAAGAACAATCAAGAGAAAATTGAGGATGATTTGCTTAGTATAGAGTTTAGTTCTCATGAGAGTGCATATAAGTTTTATGTATAGTATGGTGGTGAAAGAGGTTTTACTGTGAGAAAACAACATTGGAGGAAAAACATATTGGGTATTGTAACACGGGTAACTTATTGTTGTTCAAAAGAAGGTCATCGAAGATATGACAAACGGCGTGAAAAAGTATCTTATTATGAACCAATTTCAAGGGTGGGTTATGAAGCACATGTGACTTGCTTACTTCAAAAAAATGGGAGTTTTAAAGTTACATCGTTTCAAGAAACCCATAATCATGCTTTGATTAGAACACCAATGAAACATATGCTTAGGATTAATAGATGTATGTCTAAGGCTCAAAAAGCACATGCTGATGATGCTGAAAAATCAAGAATACCTATTAAAGCCACTATGGAACTAATGAGTAGAGAAGTTGGGGGACGAGAGAATCTTGGGTTTTTGGATAAAGATTACTGAAATTACATACATAAAAAGAGAAAGACAAATATAGGAAATGGAGATGCTGGTGCTATATTGCAATATTTTCAGAAAGTTCAGTTGGAGGATTCATCTTCTTTTTTTATTTATTTATGCAATGCAGCTTGATGAGGATGATATGATCACAAATATATTTTGGGCTGATTCACGTTCTGTAAGTGACTATCGCCTCTTTGGGGATGTTGTTTGCTTTGATACGACATATTGAATAAATGAATATGGTCGACCATTTGCATCATTTGTTGGGGTTATAACCATCATAAGCTAACAATTGTTTTTGGTGCAGCTTTGTTGTACGATGAAACTGCAAAATCTTTTAAGTGGTTATTTGAGACTTTCCTTTTAGCGATGTCTGGAAAGCAACCAAAGACGATTCTAACAGATCAATCTGCTGCAATGGCTAGTGTAATCTTAGATGTATTTCCTGAAACTTCTCACCGACTTTGTGTTTGGCATATTTATCAGAATGCTGCCAAAAATTTAAGTCATGTTTTTCATGGATCAAAAGAATTTGCTCATGATTTTAGCACATGTGTATATGATCATGAGGATGTAAATGAGTGGTTATTATCATGGAATCATATGCTTGACAAGTATAGCCTCAGGGGGAACAAGTGGTTGAAAGAAATATTTGAATTACGGGAAAAATGGGCCCTTGTGTATGGCAGAAATACTTTCACGACTGATATGAAAAGCACACAGCGTAGTGAATGTATGAACAATGTCTTAAACAAATATTTGAAGCCAAAGCATAATCTTTTGCGATTTTTTAAAAATTATGAGAGGGTTTTGGTAGACCGTACATATGAAGAACTACTTGCTAATTTCGAGATGCTGCAAACAACACATGTACTATTACTAAGTGTAGAGATGTTGCAGCACGGAGTTGAGGTTTATACTCCGGAGGTATTTAAACTCTTTCAAGAAGAGTATAGGAGAATTCTTGATTATAACATATATAAAGTTGGTAAATCTGAGATGACAACCGAGTATAAAGTGTCTTATATTGGTAAATCTCAAGAGCACTTGGTTAAAAGTTTGAAGCTTCAACATAAAAAGTCAATTGTAGTTGCATGAAGTTCACGTTTGTTGGGATTTTAAGTGCTCATGCAATGAAAGTGCTTGATAAGAAAAATGTGAAAAGGATTCCATCCCAATACATATTGAATCGGTTTAGGAGAGATGCAAAGGCTAAGAGTATCACTAGTTATAATGGATTTGGGATTCATGACAACCCCAAAGAGTCTATGGGAAAGCGTTACAACCATTTGTGTCGGAATTTTCGTGAGATTGCATCCTTTGCAGCAGAGCATGAGAAATTAACAGAATATGTCAATGCTCCATTGAGATGCTCAAAGGTTTAGAGGAAATAAAGACAAATCTTTTTGGTGGAAATCAACATGTTGACAGAGTGGTTGAGCAAACTAATTCTGCTACACCAATTGTAACTGCAGTTAAAAGAAAGGCTACAATTGGACGCCCAAGCAATCGATTGAAGGACCCCCTTGAACGAAAAAGACAAAAAACATCAACAAAAGCCACAAAAGCTTCTGCAAGACGACAAATAACAATGCATGTAACTCCATACATACTGACACTGTGAATATACTAAGTGCATAGTACTTTATACACCACTTATCAAATTTGTTGTTTTTTTTTTTTTTTGGTCAAAAACCTGTTTGTAGGAAATTGATTTCACAAGTGGAGGTTCACAAGTGCAACAGATTGTTGGACATGAGGTTAAAGCATTTCCTCTTCAAGGAAATTACCTTTTCAGTTTCAGTTTGTATATAAATAATTAATTTAAACTTCTATTTTTCTTTATGCCTCTAATAGGAACCTTGTATGGAAAATGGAACCTACATGCCATTTTCAACACAGTAAAACTATAATATGATGACAAGTTGGCAAGATAAAATTTCTTTCACCCAACTACTTCATGTAGGTATATTCATGATGTTACTATTTCTATGCTAAATTTACCTTATTAACTTGAAGCTTGGATACTTTGTAGGAACAAGTATATATTGATGCTTTTTCACAAGACCAAGAATTGGGAAGTTGAGCAAGTTCTTTTTGCTGGATATTTTTTGGGTAGTGCAGCTATGAAATATTTAACAGATGAAGATTGCACAAGTTTTTTGTCGAGTCGTGTAACATATCAAAGGAGATCATACTTGTACATTTTGTGCAACACATGAGAATTGGGTTAATAGGGATTGCACATTTTGTTTTTTGATTGTGCAACATCATTGACTTGAATAAAAGTTGTATATGTACTATTGTTGCTTAATGGGTGACAACGAAATGGCTTAATGAAAAGCCTTTTTTTTTTTTCTTGGAACAGGTTGGATGCAACCTATACAACCCATTTACTTTAGCAAAAGATATGAAAACCAATTAGCTTGCAAGGAGAGGAGAAAATTATATAACAAATTAAATATTTTTTATTTATTTATCAACATAAGTTTTTTATAAGCAAGGGTCTGGGAATTTAAAGTAGTTAGAGTTTGCTGTTGGGGAGGCTTGAGTTGGGGGCCAGTCGCAGCCGTCGATTTGTTTGGATGGTGGGGTAGGATCGACTTTTCAAAAGCAACGCGAAGGTCTCTGTTATAAGCAGTTGGCAGAGAGCCGAGCCAAGCAAAAGCATGAGCAAAGCCATGTTAGCTGTGGGGATTTTTCATTTATTTTTGGTCGGTATTTTAGTATTTTTGGATAGTGGGAGGGTGGTGAGTGAAAATTACATATCAACCTACACATCCATTCAAAGCGTGGTGCCCAGGTGTGATGCCATTTGGCATCATCTCTCATCCAATAGTTTTCTTTCAGATGCACATGCTGGAGTTTGTTATTTCAACATCAATCAAAGATGATGTTCACAAAATTTTTGAGTCCAATTTTCCCAAATCGGCTGCCTAATTTAGGGAATTTTCCCCTACTCCCGTGTGAAATCTGATTTTGTAGACTAAGCTTGTTTTTCTCGAGGTGTGTTGCGATTTACATTACACATTACATACAGTTGCATCATCCGACAATCACTCACGAGTGCATTCTTAGAATTTTGCTTTGTGAGTTAACAAGTCTAGGTTTAACTGTTTAAGTTGCTCCTGATGTATCAAATGTAGAGTAAATGATGTGTGACATTAGTGTAAATGTCCTTGGCCAATAGGTTGTAAATCACTAGTAAGCCAAAGACCTCACAGCACAGTAACAACATTTTTTCCCCCGTTTCGAGTGCCCCATTTTGATAACCATATCCATGACGGTATACCTTTCTAGATGAAAATTGTCCAAACCCGGACTGACCCTCTGGATACTTCATTTTGCCACCACCATTGCCCTCGTCTTCCTCCTTTTTCTTCTCATCTCCATCGCCACCACCATTGCCGTCATTGCTGTCGTTGCTGTCGTTATTGCCGTCGTTGCCTTCGTTGCCTCCATTTTTCTTCTTTGGCCGCACAATTTCCACAGGCTTCTTGAGCTTCTCCCTCAAACGCTCAGCCAATGTCTGCACGTCCATTGAACCCCTCACTGTCATTAATTTCTTCTTCTGATCCAGTACTATCGAATCACACCCTGTCCACGTTACCCATGTCAAATAATTAAAAACAAATTCATCATCGTAGAAACGACGCCGTCACATAACGATTGGTGGAATTTATAACCTCACCTGTGGTAGCTGCTGAAACGTCCACAAGCGTCGCGTTGCATTTATCGCAGAGACAGTCGAGCTTAAAAACTGTCGCCAACGGAGACTACACAAACCCATGATCCCTTTAATTAATAAAAGCAATTAAATTTTGAAACAAAAAAAATTAAAAAATTGAGGCAGGTGCTTAGAACAAGACAGGCGCACGTTAGGAACCAGCGTGCACTACACACACCTCTTTGGGTTTTTCGTCGTTGTCTGTTTTCTCAGGCTGCTTTTTCTTGGTGTCGTTGGCATCGTCTTTGTTGACTTTGTTGTCCTTTTTGGGCTGGGGAGAGACGAGGTCGACCTTATTCTTGGTCTCGGTGGCCAGTGTTGAGAGTATTTGTCCCACATTGAAATGTTAAGGGACCTAGCCTGGGTTTATAAGGAGTTGGGCTACTCCTCCCATTGCCAATTGGTTTTGGGGTGGAACCTCAACTTCCATCAGCCAGCTCGTCTCTCAGCTTTGTGGGGTGCACTTTTCCGACCACCATCAGCTTGTTCGCTTGGCCCTCAGATTTCACCGACTCATCGCCTGTGTTGCATATATAATACACACAACTTAAAAACCATCCCAGAAATTAAACCAAAAAAGAAAAATTAATTGAATCTAATTGTGGATGAGATTCAACCCATAAAGTAGAAACAGAGCATAAACTGAATAAAATTCCTTTGGAATATTACTTTTTCCACGCACCAAAATAGAGAAAATAAAAAGAAGACAATTTCATGAGGAGTAAAGGGAGATCAGAATCTCTGAAGACAAAATTTGAAGGAAATCTGATAAACTGGGGTTGAATGATTTTACCTTGAAAAGATTTGACCCATTTGACAATCTTAGAGGCGATGGGGCCACCCTCCTTCTTCTTCTCACCCCCGTCATTTTTCTTGTTCTTGTTCTCGACGCCATTGTTGTTGTTCTTCTGCATGAAACCCAAAAACAAACACCAAAACCCGTTACTCAAACACAAACCCATCAAGCAAACGCAAGCATATGGAGAGAAAATAAGGGCTAAACCAAATGATAGAGAATCAGAGGCGGATGAATTGGGTCTCCATTGTGAGTTTTTTTTGCGGATGTATGTGTAATTTGTGAGTGGAGAGTAGGAAACGTGGTGAGGACAGTGGATACTTAAAGCCGAGAGAGTTTCGGCGTCAGCAGTTGTTGTGTGACGTCGGAGGTAGGTTCACTTTCTCAACCGGTTTATGCCTTCTATGATGGTGATGATGGAGGGTGTGTGATTTTATATGCGTATTTAGGCATTTGCACTTACACATGTGAAGTGATGTGCGTGTGTGGGTTGCGTCCGTGGTACGCGTAGATGAACGTTTTGGACATGGGACTGGGAGAGAGAAACTTCCTTGTAATTTTGTGTACGGTGCGGTTGGGTTGTGGTGGGCTCTGCTGATTCAAAAGCTGAGAACGCGCTTTGTAAAAAACAAAAACATTATATATTGTTTCTTTGAGAAAAATATTAGGGAAAGCCGGCACTTGGCCAGGGTGACCAAAGCCTGGCCCGGGGCGCAAAAAATATTCAAGTTAAGCCATATATATAATATATGTATACAGGTTCCTTCTCCATTACGGAATTGAAGTCTGCAAATTCATTACGAATTTGTGTTTTGACCGTCGGATCTAGGAGGTATGCAAATCCATTAGAGCATTTCCAGCAGTGCAGCCAAGGGGAGGGCTGGGAGGGGGGGGGAAAGCCCAAAATCGTGTTTCCAGCAACAAACTTTGGCCCGGGCAAGCAGTGGGGCCTACCGAACTGGGCTGGCCCTCGGGCAAGGCTAGCCCCAGGTCCAAAACGAGGGCAAGGCTGACGTCAGCGCTCGCCAACTGTAATGTGCCATGTGTCAAAACCTGGGCGCTCCGATGGTATTTTCCCTCCAATCCAACGACAGACAATATTTTGGCAATAAAAATATGAAAAAAAAATCCGAAAAAAATTCTAAAAAATACCAAAATATATTGGAATTTTTTTCTATAAATAACTACCAATACTCTTCACTTTCAACACCAAATCCTCATACACGTAGGCAGAGGCGGACCTATTAAGGTGTACATATTACCTTATTTATTTTTATATTACTCCATTTACTTTTATTTATTTTTATATTACTCCATTTACTTAAGTTTACAATGTAAATAAGGAAGTACCCCCCATTTGGATTCAAATAAAAATGCGAGAAAATCAAATTCCCACCAAATCAAAATATGAAAAATCGGTTTTAGTGCAAAATACGATTTAGGCTAAAAATGATGGCTCATTAAGTCAATATATACTTCATAATAAAATCCCATAAAATCAAGTTTTCTTATTTGATGTGTAAGGAACAAAAGCCGCCAAAAATTATCTTGAGAAAATGATTATTCTGAAAAATCATTTTTCATACTTAGTCAATATTGCACCTCCGCTAAAAAATTTCTAGATCCGGCATTGCACGTAGGAACCCAAAAATCTTACCCGAAAATATTATCAAAAATAATTATTTACGTAAAAAAAGTTGTGAAAAAAACAAAAAAATGAATAGTAGTTGCCATGGCAAAGGGCAACTGCTGGAAACACACATAGCTTAATATGGCAAGGACAGCCACTATTCACATGAATAGTAGCTGCCCTAGGCCCCCCTTGCCATGGCAGGGCAAACTGCTGGAAGTGCTCTTACGGATTCTGCACCAATTGCTATTTGTTTAATATCTCACCCTCTTTTTTTTATATTCTATTTTCTCTTCTCCTCTCTTTCTTTGTTATTTTTCCTTGTCTTTCTCTATTTCTTTAGTATTTTTCCTACTTCTTCCTCTTTTCTTTCTTTTCTCCTCCTCTGCTCAATCTCTCTCTCTCTCGCTTCTTTCTTCTCAGCTCTGTTCTCTCTTCCCTGCTCCCTCAAACCTAAGTTTTTTTTGGCTCCTCCCCCCACCCACAAACCCATACCCATTCGACCAAAAATAAAAATAAAAAACCCCAGACCAATCAAATAATCAGGCTGATCATTCGAAAAAATGTTCCATTGAGAGCCATGGCTATGGAAATTGTGAATTCAAATTGTTCTCCGACTCCTGGAGCTTTGGGTTTCTTTATAAGATGTTTAGGTAGTGTAGAGTTGGTTCAAGAAGCTAACTTTTTGTTTGATCAAGTTAAAGTGAAGGGTCTTTGTGTTCCAAATAGTTATAGCTCTAAATCTAAGTCAAGTTCAATTGCATTGCTTAAAATGAGATTGCAAGAAATGCAAGATTCTGGGTGGGAATTCAGTAAGTACACGTTGACTCCATCGTTGCGGGTTTATTGCAATACAGAGAAGTTTGAAAAGGCTTTAAATGTTTTCAATGAAATGTATGAGAAGGGGTGGGTTGATGCCCATGTCATGTCTATCTTGATGTTTTCCTTTAGAAGAGGGAGCAAAAAAAAAAACCTGGACTTGAGGGAGCAGGGAAGAGAGAACAGAGCTGAGAAGAAAGAAGAGAGAGAGAGACGAGGGAAAAAAAAAAAAAAAAAAGAGGGAAGAAACAGAAAGAAAGAGAGAGAAGAAGAAATAGAATAAATAAAAAAAAAGAGGGTGAGATATTAAAAAAAAGGGCATTTGGTGAAGATGCGACGGTCAAAACACAATCCGTAATGGATTCTTATACTGCAACTTCGTAATGGAGAAGGACCTAAAAAAATAAAAAATAAAGTCCTCATAAAAAATTAAAAATAACTAAAAGAACCAGGCATGCATCCTTCTTTCCAAAAATACGCGTGCTAAGGTCATCTCAAATCATAGGACTAAATGTAGTCCAGGGCTAAAAATTTAGCCCCCCAAAATATTAATTTGTTAAAGAATAGTGCAGGTATGGATTCCAACATTTGGCTCGGTTGGAGGGCTAAAAGGCCAAATGTGGCCCTCCAAATTTGGCCAAAATTTTATTTAGCCCATGACTGGAGATGGATTTTGCATTAATTTAGGGCTATATTCGGGATATAGCCCATGACTGGAGATGGCCTAATGGCCCATATATGCCAGAAAACACATATCACCATCTTCATCTCTCTAATCTATCCTCGAACCAGTTGGGATACTGTTAAGCTTCTTGGCATAGTTGAGAGCTGGATATGAACATCCATTTGGAAAAAGAATTATAAGCCCACTACGTTCTTGATCATTTATTATTATTGCATCTATATTATTTAATATCCATGTTGACCAAAGTTAGTGGAACTTATGATCGTGGCAGATAAGAAAGCATTTGGGAGCATGCATATGGATATCCTTATCAATCGCTCGTTGTTTGCTTTTGGTTACTTTATATATTATGATGTTGTAATACACCAACCACTCCATTTACGGAATGAACTTCGTACGAACTTGAAATGTCTCATTTCTTTGACCTATTGATTTCGAATTGTGCCGAAAACATGGACAACATCATAATATGGTGGGAGGAGTCATTTGGTAAGTTTTGAGTGAAATCCAATCGCTACAACTATGCAATACACCAACCACTCCATTTACGGAACGAACTTCGTTCGAACTTGAATTGTCCCATTTCTTTGACCTATTGATATGCTATTAATAAGGAGTATTAATTACAATTATGGCAATTAATGAAATGTTTGAAATAAATTATAAATAAAATATGAAGTTTGGTGGCAACGATGTAAAAACATAGGAATACTATGACCTTTTATATCCTACTGGTCATTTAAATTTGAAACATAGGAATACTATGACCTCTTATATCCTACTGGTCATCCCAGAGCGCATAGCGTTCCGCAGTCGCGAAGACCTCTGCTAGAGTCTGGTTAGGAGTAATAGTCAGCTTGCGATATAAGTCGTGTTCAGTTGGAAGACCTTTCTTGAAAGCAGAGGACGCAATTCGGTCATCACATCCTATAATGTTGGCCTTTTATGCTTTGAATCTCATGATGTAGTCTCGAAGGGATTCATCGGACTTCTTACGCAGGTTGTACAGGTGGTCAGGGTTCTTCTTGATCGTCCGGTAAGAAGTGTTTTCTTTGGTGAAGACGTAAGCTAGGTCTTTGAAGCTGTTGATCGACCCGGATGGCAGGGTGTGAAACCAATCTTGGGCAACTACTCGTAAGGTCATTACAAACACCTTGCACATCAACGCGTTGTTGGCCTTGTAGAGGATCATGACACTTTTGAAGTGCTTTAGGTGGCTCTCGGGATCAGAATTCCCATTGAAATACGTGAACGAAGACGTTGAGAATCGCTTCGGGGGAGCAACATGCTCGATTTCGGTAGTGAAAGGCGTAGAGTTTGCTTGGTCCACCTCCCTGTGTAGAGCATCTTCGTTCGAAATTTCTACCAATCTTTAAGTTTCAAAGTCAGTCGTTTACGAGCTTCTCGACATCTTCCGTTAGCATGGCTTGCCAATCACGTTGGCGACCTTCATGATTCAAGCGGGGATGGTTGACTTCCTCGTTGACTTGCTGAGATCAACTTCCTTGGCTAACCTGCCCGTGAGGCAGATTGGTGGATTAAGCTTGCGAGGATTCCTCCACGAGTTGTCGTCGTGAGTTGGTTCTCAAGCGGGTTGGTGAGTGTCGGTCGTTGCACTCGTGCCCCTGTGAGCCCAGCCTTGAATGGACACTTCTTTGCGAGCCCAAACGATCGTGGATATTGGACTGTGGGCCCAACCTCTCATGCACATTAGTCCTTGGACCTAACCTTGAACGGATTGTCGACCTGCGCAGAGTACGGGTTGTAGATGTCTGTGTCTCTTCTACATGACCTCGTTCTCTCCCCTGCCCATTAGTCCCTATCTGACTAGTCTGGGATCTCTCAAGATGCTTGCCGGTATGCTCTCGGATCATTCTCTCCTCGCCACGGGCTCCATGGTCAAGGCCTTGATTCAAGTTGATTTGCCTGAGTAATTGGCCAATTAGATTTTTTTTGTCGTCGACCCTCTATGCGAGTTGATCAACTCGTGAATTAAGGCCCGCTTGATTGCATAGGTCGGGAAGAGAGGTGTGGATCAAGCCCAATGACATATGGGCTAGGGCTCCACTAGATGCGTACACAGGTGCATACGTAAAGTGTTGTTGCAAAGGAGGGAGCGAATGGATTTGCTCCAAGATGGCGCCGTCACTTGGCCCTTGCGGTGGCAAGGTGGAGAAGGCCACGGGGCCATAGTATGGTGCTGCCGCGAGTGGTACGGCAATTCCAGCCTCTATTTGGTGGTTCACGAGGGTGATTTGCAGCTGCAAGGAGCTGTCCCCACGGTTTGGTGGCTGTCTGGTTGCTACAACAGCTGTTTGAAGAGGTTGTGAAGCCTCCGGAGGTGGTTGGATGACATGGGCAGCCACCGGGGGCCGCTGGAACTCGCTAGGGAGCTGCTGGGAAGCGTTGGCAGCCATGGGAGGCTGCTGCAAAAAGCTGGCAGCAGCTGTACCTCGCAGTTGCAGCGAGGTTTCGGCAGTTCCAACCATGGTTGTTTGGAAGGCTTCGGTGGATTGAAAAATGGATTTGGAGCACGCTTTGAGTATTATTCCTCTTCATTGTCTTTTTCTCCCTGCAAAATAAATAGGAATAAGAGGACCACACCCAGGGCTGTTGGCCAAAGGCCCTCCGATGCCTA